ATATATATACACACACACACACACACACACACACTATATATATATATATATATATATACATATACATATATATATATATATATTAATAGATATACATGATATATATATATTTACTACACACACACACACGCGCACACGCACACACGCACACACACACACACACATATATATATATATATGGCAACGTATAAGTATATAGGAATTGATTCGTATGTATTAGCCTACCTGCGCTTTAACCTAAAATCCACATTGTAAATCCTAAAAACTTACTGTGGCCAGCAGATTCTTCTGCAGTAGCTCCAGCTTGACTTTGACCACCACGCGTGCTTCGTCGAGTTTTTGTTTGCGGTTGACTAGGTCTTGTTCCTGTGCTGGTAATGGGCTGATACTCGGTGACTCTAACTCGATCCGCAACGTATCGAAGTGTGTTCGCGTGTGCTCCCAGAGCCTGATGGAGATCTGTGGTATTATGAGAGTGTGCACGTGTCCATGAGAGTGTGCACGTGTCCATGAGAGAGTGCATGTGATCTACATACACAAACGAGAACGCTGCGCATATCGTTAGATGAGGGAGGTTTATTCATAAGTACTTACTTATTAGAGTAGAGCTCAATATATATCGAATATCATATCTACACATATATGTAGATAAAAACTTATGTACATATATCTAAATACATATCGCTTATGTAAAAAAGATTCTGCACAAAGTAGGATAAGGCAGTACTACTTATGAGTACCTTCTGATTGATGTAAAGTTCAATATTTATAAATATCATATGTATGCATATATGTATATTCATATCTATATAAATATCGCTTGAATGAAAATAAGCCGCATATACTAGTGAAGCGATTTCAGGTTTGTGCTAAGTCAAAAATCTGGTTTGACATGTATACTATTGCAGGATTAAGAGAAACAACACACTTTCCGACACTACAATGCTCTATTCTAAATGCGTATATGAGTGAATAGAATACACCTGTACGCATGTGCTTGGTCATTACTAATTGTACAAGCATTTTATCAAATGTAGCGAAGGCTCCAAACGATAAGTATAGATATATATATAAATGTACATATACACCAAGTAGCATATGTATACCATTTTTTTTTCTCCACAGTCTGTAAACGCGAGACAGGCAGAGTATGGTGTACCACACAGAGACTGAACATATGCACAGATTCATGTACACATACGCGAGTATCCATGCCATTTTCCATGCCACTTACAACTGTATCCTCCATTGTTTTGCTTATTGTGGTCTCCATAGTCGAGATGAAGGTTGCGAGTTGCTCCTCCAGTCGCTGACTCTGCAAAGACGCATTCCCCAGGGCCAGTGCATTCTTCTCGTACAGGACTCCCACAGAAGCAGTCGTGATGCTGGGGCTTTAAGGTATAAGGGTCTAGAGTTTAAGGGTCTAAGGGTCTAGAGCTTAAGGTACAGAGTCGAGGGGTTAAGGTGAATGCCAACACGCCCAGAAATAAGTAAGCAAGTTTCAAACATAGTGTATTCCAGGCAAATTTCAAGCAAAGTTCGTGTTCGTTCATCTCATACAGATCTTCCAGAGGGGTGGGTGTCATGCTAATATACTGCTGGTACTAGGGCACGAGCACAGGGAAATGAAATGCGTATAGTCGCTTAGCACTCTAGTAGCCGTTGCAAACTATCAAAATTTCGATGATCACTTTGTTTCAGGATCGAAGCACGCCATAGTCAGCTAGCTATGTGAAGAGTCGGGAAAGTATTTTCACATCTACGATGGGCACGCGAGAATCATCACAAAGAAAGTACAAGATCAAGCCAAGCACCATTGATTTTGGAAGGATTTAAACTGTGAAGCCGAATAGCCACGATACTACTGTACGCTGTGTACTAAGTGCATTTTGCATGAAAGCACGAACAGACAGACGCATGGCATGCATGTATACATACTTCGATTTTCTTGCGAGTACTTTCATGAGCTGCGCCATGGTCTGTCTGTGCGTGGTGGTGTTCGTCACATCCTTGTGGAGGGCCTTGGCAGCCTTGCTGAGATCAACATAGCTAGTGGTCACACGAGGAAACAGAAGCATGAGGAAAAATGGGTCAAAATAGAAATTGCACAGCATATCAACTATACATACTTTTTGCACGTGTATATACATACATACGTTTATAAACTTGCATGTATATATACATACATACATTAATAAATTTGCATGTATATATACATACATACATTTATAAATGTGCATGTGTATATACATACATACATTTACCCGCGGCAGCCATGCACACATGTGTACAATTTGACTCCATTTGCGACGAGAACCTTTACCTAACCTAAATAACAACTAGGAGTACGTGTATATATACACAAGGACACGCTACAACATACTATGCGGTTCCCAATCGCAAAGTTGTGGCGACACTACGGTCTTAGGGCATCGTGAAGGTGAAAGTAACATTTAACAGCGTACATTGTGCACAGGACTGATATAGATTGGTACTTAATGTTGTTGCTTACTTATCTTCATTGTTGTAAGTACGGATATAAAAATAGCGTTTGCGTGCGATATACTTGTTCGTATCCGCATTCCAAATGAAAGCATGTTTGCTTTATATTCACGAATGAGTTTAGTACTGATATATTAACCGACTCTCGAAAAGATCATTAAACTGACACGCCCTAGAAATACAGAATGCGCCTACGCAAATCAACAAAGTCAACCAAGCAGACATATGCAAACAAGATAAGCATATAATCTACTCGCAATAAAAGTGTAAGTTAAGCGTTTATATCCATTTATATACGTGCGCACTACACATGACATATCTACATATACGCAATCCTAAAATTACCATACATTAAAGCTACAATCTCACAAGCGCACACAAATTGTACATACATAACCACATGCAATAAAAGATATATGCTCCATAACTCCTATAACTTTCCCCAATATCTATATCAAATAACACTATTAAAGATAGCGGAATAGTTAACTGCCGTATGTGACTTTTGAATAATTGCATTAAAGTATTAAATTTCCTCACAAGTACGTATGTTCACTACGCCTCCCCATTAAGTTTCGTATATCGATGCTCACTCTCCTGCATGTATTCATTATTCTAAACAACAGTATACGAGCATAATCTAACCGTGATATATATGTATCTAAATCTATACACACACACACACCCACGCATATATATATATATACATATATACACACACACACATA